AAAAAAGGAAAAAGTTAAAAAAAGATAAATGGATTGCAATCCATAAGCATTTTATTATGCAGATCTGGAAGACAGCGAGTCACCTCCAAGACTGCCTCCTCATCTAGGAGTGGTCATTGGGTTTTATAGTAGGGTGAGACTCTAGCTCATTCAACAATGCACTTTTGTGTTAGTAAAAAAAGGTAATTTCTACATCTGGAAAGAATAGTTTGTATTTAAGTACTAGTAATTCAGGAGGGGTACAGTCCCCTTCCTGATAAACAGGCAGATTAAGATACAATTTATATATGACTGGGAAACAGCCTCAGAGAGATCTAGGAGAGATGTACTTCCACTTCTGGTAAGCAGAGAGATAAAACTACTTTACATGACTAAAGACAGGAAACAGAATTTGGAGGCTAAGTAACTAGTTTTGCAGGCTGAAGAAAACTGATGTTAGTTTTATAATTATATAACTATAGTTTTATAACTGATACATATATAGGGAATTCTGAACTTATTAATACCACCCTATCATTCCCCCCTCTTTTTATATCTATAAGACAAACATACCACTCTATCATAAAGATGCACACTCAGGTCTCCTCTTTAAGGAAGGAAATTCATTAGCTCTCTGCCCAATTACAGGGAATGTGCTCAACAGAAAGGCCAGCTGTCACCTCCTTCACTGTCAGCCTAGGCTGTAATGTCACTTCAGCTGAGGCCACCCCTTCCCTGGATGTCTGGTGAGGAAGAAGGCCAGGGATGGATAAAGGCTTGACCATTATGCCTGACATGGGACACCAATAGCAAGGTTCTAGAATTGCCTGCCAGGTTGGACAAGGCTTTTTTTTTACCACAGTCTGACTTCCTCTCCCTAATACCATGCCCTTCCCTTTCCCTTTATAAATGATAACCTCTAGTAATCATCTCATATACCATTATGTCACTCTCTGCTTCCAGAATACTCACCCTGCAACACATAGTGCCTAGTAGACATTGTTGTTGTTGCTGTTGTTATGTGCTGTCGAGTCGTTTGCGACTCATAGCGACCCTATGCACAACAGCCCTAAACCCTGCTCTGTCCTGCGCCAACCGCACTGCCTCTGACACACCCATCCCGATTACCCCAGTCACCGAATCAATCCATCTCATAGAGGGTCTTCCCCTCCTGCGCTGTGCCTCCACCCTCCCAAGCATGATGTCCCTCTCCAAGGACCCGTCCCTCCTGGCAACATGTCCAAAGTATGTCAGACGAAGCCCCAGAATCCTTGCCTCCAAGGAGTAGCTTGGTTTAATCCTCTCCAAGATGAATCTGTCTGTTTTCCTGGCAGTCCATGGTACATTCAGTACTCTTCTCCAGCACCACAGCTCAAAGGCATCAACTCTCCTTCTATCCTCTCTAGTCATTGTTCAATTCTCTGATGCATAACAAGCGATTGCAAAGACCATGGCCTGTATCAGGCGCACCTTAGTCTCCAGAGAGACACGGTTGCTCTTGAGTACTTTAGAGAGGTTAAGTACCCAATTATTGTCTTTGTAGATGCCATGATCTTGTATTGTTTCTGTGCATGAGTAGAAAAGAAACTACATATTCATCAGAAACTAGCTGCACTTGAATAAAAACAATACTTAAGTTGAGAGAATTACCAAACTCCACCACAAACCTCAGAGCTGAGTTGTTTAGATTCCGTGTGACCCTGGAACTCTCTCATTTCATCTTCCGTTAGAAGATTTGAGAGTTTCTCTTTCTTAATTGCCTTGATTGCATTTCCAGCAAGCAGACCCAGAATACCATGCATGACCTCTTTGTGGAGGTCTATTGACCTTGAACTGTGTCCTAGTCACTTCAGACAGGCAGTGTTAGCTGCCATCTAACCTTTACCTCTCCCAGATAGCATGTCTGACTTTAGAACCCAACCAGAAAACAAGGTTTCACTTTTAAGAAGCTCTGAGAAGCAACTACTCAATTCTTCTCCTCCACCGACATCCTGCTCCTGATCAACCATGACTGAGGTTTCAGCCAGCTTTTCACGGCTTCCTAATGCTTCTTCACTTTGATTTGCTAGGCAGAGCTCTGATTCTTGCTTGTCATAGGCAGCAGGAATTCAAAAAGGAGAAACAGGGCATACCGAGGGACACTAAGACAACCAAACATCAACAAAGAGCTCGGACTGGGGAGTAACTAACTTTCAGCTATAGATAGATTGCAGGGTGGACTGGCAAACATCATCAGAAGGCTTCCGTTTTATAAGAAAATCTTTCTTAGTTACTCTAAATGAAAATAAAATATTATAGAAAGTGTTAGTTTTACATTTGTTGTTTTTGTGTACTGTAGAGTTGAAACCGACCCATAGCATACCCTCCAGTGGTTTCTCAGAGGCTGTTGATTGCAGGGGAGGAAATTACCCACCCTTCTCTAGTAGAGCAGCTGGTGACCTCAAACCTTGGCCTTTCAGATTGCAGTGCAGCTTCTTTCCACTTGAAAAAACTTGTTAACCTTCAAGTCCCCTTAATTAATTCCCAGAGGGTTTTCAGAGGCAGTGAATCACATGGCAGAAGATTGTCCACCCTCCACTGGAGCAGCTGGTAAATTAGAACCACTTGCCTTTGAGATTGCAGTGTAGCTTCTTATCACCAGGACACTAGAGTTCTGTCTGTGTTTCATTTACTTACTTTCAGATATTTTATCCTTTGGGATATTATTGTAAAGGATATTGTTTTCTTGACTTCCTTTCCAGAGTTCTCTTTCTAAATGAAGAGGAATCCAATTGCTTTTTATAAATTGATCTTGTATCTTGCCAATTTCCTCAATAATTCTATAGTTCCTTCCAGTAATGTTCTTACGGAATCTCTATCCAAAAAAATAGTTTTACTTCATTCTTAGTAATTTAGAAACAATTTACTTCCTTCTCTTGCCTTACTCCTCTAAGACTTCCAGTACAATTTTGAATAAGGGTTATAGTAAAGGGCACCCTTTTCTCATTTCCACTATGAAAGGGAATCCTTTCAGTCTCAAGAATAATGTTGGAGGACTGTCTGAAACGAATGTATGATTAGGCAATATATTTATGACAATTAACAATCTGGAATACAAATTGGGGAAGAAAGGAGGAAAATGTGCATCAATGAATGAATGAAAACACAACCTTTCTGCAAACTTTCATTAAAATCACAGTTAAAAAAGAAAAAGGATTACATCTCAACATCAAGGGGGAAAAATAAAGAATAATGATATTGGCTGTTGTTTTTGCTTATTTCCCTGTAAGTATGGTAAGGGATTTATCTTCTATTCCCGTGTTACTGAGAGGTTTTATTAGGAAAAAGTTTGGCATCAGTTGAAATAATCCTTTTCATTAGCATAATAAATTATGTTAATTTGTTAGTGTTGAACTACCTCAATGTCAACCTACCTTATCATATTACTATTTTTTGACCTATTTTCATATTCTATCAGCCAGAATTTAGTTGAGAATTTTTGTGTCTATATTCATAAGATAAATTGGGATATATAGATATAGATGATCTAGAGATACATAAGGAGTGGCATCCACTTCCTAAACAACATGCCTCTGGAAACTCTATAAATTTAGAGAAACTACAACAGTTACAGAACAGGGTTTAGGTCCTTTGTTCATAGGGTCACTATAAGCCATGCTTGACTCTGTGGCAATCAACAACAAAGATGATAGATAGATAGATAGATAGATAGATAGATAGATAGATAGATAGATATAGAGATCTATAGAGATCTATAGATCTCTATCTCTATATTGTTGTTCTTGTTATGTGCCGTTGAGTTGACTATGATTCAAAGAGACCCTATGTACAACAGCCCTAAACCCTACTCTGTCCTGTGCCTATCTCACTGCCTCCAACACACCTACCCCATTACCCCAGTCACTGAATCAATCTACCTCATAGAGGGTCTTCCTCTCCTGTGTTGTCCCTCCACCCTCCCAAGCATGATATCCTTCTCCAAGGACTCGTCCTTCTTTGCAACATGTCCAAAGTATGTCAGACAAAGCTTCAGAATCCTTGCCTCCCAGGAGTAGCCTGGTTTAACCCTCTCCAGGATGAACCTGTTCGTTCTCTTTGCAGTCCATGGTATATTCGATACTCTTCTCAACACCACAGCTCAAAGGCATCAATTCTCCTTCTATACTCCCTAGTCATTGTCTAGCTCCCTGATGCATAGCAAGTGTTTGTAAAGACCATGGCTTTTATCAGGCACACCTTAGTCTCCAGAGTGACACCATTGCTCTTCAGTACTTTGGAGAGGTCCCTAACAGCAGACTTTCCCATTGCAATTTGTCTTTTAATTTCCTGGCTGCTGATGCCAAGAGTGTTGACTGTGGAGGTAAGCAAACTAAAGCTGTTAATAATCTCAATCTGATAGAGAGGGACAAAAAGGTGGTATCACTACCCAGCTTTGGTATCAGGATATGCTAGTTTCATAGAATAAATTAGAAATTATCACATCCTTTTCTACATACTAGAAAAGCTTAAGAATTGGCAGGTGGGCACTACCATCTGGCTGTCAAGGGATCTCTAGTGCCCTAATGGTAGGGAACTGTGCCATCAATCATCTGGTTGTCAGTTCTCAGGCATGGGGCACATGCTGCCATTCACCAGGTGGACAATGATTGTCACTTATCAAGGGTGTGGCAGGTTTGGCGGGATGTGAGGATACAGGGAATTTGCACTATAGTCCCTGGTTGAGTGGGGCTTGGGGTGCTTAAACTTCTGATCACTAGAGGGGCAAAGGAGAAACTGTATGCTTCTTTAACCACTGGCCCTGAGTGGTGGGGCACTCCCTGAAGTTTACAAGCAGCATTTGAGACAATAACTGTGAGGAGGGCTTGCTGCCTGGGGTTGGTTTGGTTGGGGAACCTTCTGCAGACACTCTTGAATGTGTACCACTACCATCATGACCAGGGACAATTACTGGTGAGTGGTCTGGTCTCTGGTTCCTGACTCTCTTTGCTCTATGTCGCCAGACCCCTGGAGCACTCACTTACCTTCTTGTACCTTTCCATCTTAGATCTGGCTCATGTCCTACCCACTTTGCTTCACTCTGGTTTCATCTACTGTTTCTCTGTCTCCTTTTGGGAATTCTGTACAGTTGCCTTCCTGTGTGCTTTTACCTAGGATCACCACTCACTTTTTCTCAAGATGGCTACATTGTGCCAGGCCAGCTGACTGGGCACTGTCACATTAGCTCTTTCTCCTTCTCATTTGGTATTTGATCTAGTTCAGCAACTTCCCTTTTGATGCACGTGGTTCCAGAATTGCTGTGTATTGACAGTTCTTTGCTGTAGGTGGACATTGTGTTAAAATCATCACCTTGGACCATCTCGATGAGCCCAGTTACTTGATTTATTCTTGAAACTCCCTTAGCTCTTCACCTGTACCTCTCACTGTACTTTTGGACAAACTCTGGACTGTTTTCCTGGTCCCACTTTATCACCACATACCAGTTCCCTTAGTAAAAGCAAGCCCATTTCTCCAAAAGGAGAGAATCTCAATTTGGTCCTAACTTGATGCAACTCAGTTTTCCAGAGATCTTACACTAAAAACTATAGCCACCATTAGACAGGGCCTTGTAAGGATTCTCCTTTGTCCCTATTCTGATCAAGTCTAGACTCAGTACCATCTTTCAATATCCTATAGTACAGCAGAGAGTCAAGCTGGAACATTCAAATGAGGCCTCATCCACGGCTCAGGATAGCAAGAAACCATCAAGTCCTGTGGGTCACAAAGTCCAGGTTACGTACTCTGTGGAGTTGGGGGGTCTCCTATCACTTTTCCTTCAAAGAGCCTAGTTTGCCTTTACTGTGTTCAGACAGTTTCTGGTCTGGTTGAGAGCAAGCTTATTCCGATTCCATCCCACTCCAAAGCATAGCTATGGTGCCTTGTCTCTTGCCTATCTGTTCAGGTTCCAGGTCTCCTGAGACTTTCTGACTCATACCACACATTTCCCTGGCTGGTCCCTCCTGCTGACTCACCTCATCCTGCAGCATAGCCTCCAGCCTCTCTGTCCCAAACTTTGCAGTTTCAGTGCATGGCAAAGTCCGTGCCTGTAGCAGGTGCTTAGTTAATACAGGTGTTGGAGTTCAATGTGCTAAGATCATATGGTCAGAAGAAAGTAGGTCATCTGAAGGACAACAGTGATGGCACATTTCTAAAATGTGTTAACTTTGTCCTCCCATAGAGCAGTGTCAGCAAGAGAGTGACCAACCAGATTGTTCATTTTTTACCTCAGCTCAAGACTCACATTATTAAAATAGTCAGTATTCTCCTGCGGCTTTAAGTGAAAGGGGAAAAAATGTGTATATGGTAGGGAAATGTGGGAGAAGCAGGAAGAAACAACTTCACGCAACCTAAAGAGGCAACAACAAGCACTTGAGTTTTTCTTTTAATTATTTACCAGATTAAAAAAAGAAAAAATAGTGATTGTTTCTCTTCACCCCCAACATTTCATTTTATCATGGTAGAGTGGGAGAGAAATTTGTTGAACGCTGAATTCGTGCTCCTGGCCTGGAGCAAATTCTTCTCCTCTGCACCACACCACCTCAAACAGAGGGTCAGGGCAAAGGGTTCCAGGAAGAAATACTTGTACTTCGGCGGCAGTAGAGGAGCAGTGTGGCTCTCATCTTCTCTTCTCCACATCGCCAGAACATTCAGACCCTCTCCATCTGTCCCCCCAATGCCATCCTTCCCAATTAATCAAGTGGGAAGATGAGACTGCAGGGAGCAGGGGTGTGTGTAGAACAGGGACTGGGGAAGCACACAGTAGAGATATGGCAGAATGTCAAAATCTTCTGCTTCTATTGCACATCCTGGCTCAGATCCCCTGCCCTGAGCAATGGGCTATAAAATGAAATGCTTTTCAAATTCACACATAGAACCTGTTGTGTGGCAGGCTCATGAAGGGGAGGTGTGTCGTTGTGTGGCTTGTTCTGGAATATGTATATATACACAGACATTTAAATTATTCCATGATGGAGAAAGGGCAAAGGTGATGCTTCTTTGAAAAAGCATATGGGATTTTGACATCCTGGGGCTCTGGGCCTCTCCCCATCAAGTTTAAAAGACCACGAATCACCTCTCTTCCAGTAAACAGATCTTACATAAGATGGAAGAGGAAGCAATGTCCACCAACCACACCAGAGTTCCCCAGTTGTCATGTCTCAGGGGTGACTGATTTTCTAAACACCTGGAGAATTTGACAAATGACCCAAGAAAGAAACCTTTTACACTATTAAGTTTCTCTACAAAGTGGCAGCTGTCCTCTCAAATACAACCTTTACGTGTCTGAGTCACATTATTCTCATTACCAATGGCAACAGAGTGGGACAGGAATAAGTTGATTAACTCACCTTAGAGACAGAATAAAACTCTCTAAAAAACAAGGGGTGCAGGAGAGGACTGGTTTTGATTTGGTAGAGCTGCAAATCTTTCACCTTCATTGGCTGGGACAAAGCTGGTGGGTGAAGATAAACCTAACTGAGCCAATGGCAAGAACTTCAGGCTATAGGAGACGACAGATCAAACACAGAACTGTATAAATTGTGGCACTATAAAGATGAGAAGGCAGGTCCATGATACCAGCTGGGAGCAAGTCGTTGGAGCATTGCTTCCAGAAATTATATCTGTCCTGTAGTAAGTGACAGCATCCAGAAAAATGAAAATAGTTCTCGTTCCTCCTCTTCTCAACAAATTCTGAGTTTCTTATTTAAATAACTATGTACACAACACATAAAAGCCTGGTCTCTCTTTTACATAAGGGTCCTTCACTTGAGGGTCCTACAATGGCTTTAGAGAGTCGGTTCCAATTGCCTTTTTGGAGATTTACTGCTTGGGACCAAACCTGCAAGAAGAAATGAATGAATAATGTAATAGGAAGATCTTGAAGATAAAAGCATCCCATTACTTAAGAGACTGAGTTATAATATAAAAAACAAACATGCAACTCCATGACAGCAATCTGAGAGTTGAACTGAACCCACCACCCACATCAATTCTACCACATGCCTGCCTGGTTACTCTCAGCCAAGGGCTAGAAGTTCATACCTCCCTCTGATAAGGATAGTTTCTCAAGTTCAGCTTCAAGTTCAGCATCCGAGATCCTAGGGCTAGGCACACTGTTGGTATAAAACGTCTCCTGGGAGTTGTCGGGAAGATCCAAAGGTTCTTTGGTGGTGTCCTGAAGGAGGATGTCCAATTCCTTCTCCAGTTCCTCACTGTCAAAATCTAGAAAAACAAAGGACACATAAGCTCTGAGGAAAAAAACATGTTAAAGAGTCAGCTTCAAAAAGACAGGCTCAGGTCTCTTTGCAGTTTTTTTTTTAAAGTAGCTAAGTATTACAAGGACACTTGAAAGAAAAAAGAGTACCTTCAAACAGATATTCTTTTCTCCTACACAGAGTTAAGCTATCATGAAGGTAGAAACCACTTCACTGTGGTTCAAAAATACTGCATTTTCTACAAAGTAAAGGTTCTGCAGAAACTCTGAACTGGATAAATCTACTGGCACCATTTTCCCAAAAGCATGTACTTATTTTATGCCTTTGTGTCACATTACGGTAATTCTCAAAATATTTCCACCTTTTTTATAACGTAATTACACATTTGAAACACTATGCTATTGTTGTGTACCACTGAACTGAAACTGACTCACAGCTGATCCTCCAGCAGGTTTTCAGAGGCAGTAAATCACATGGGATTTATTTTCTTTCTCCCTCAGAGCAGCTGGTGGCTTTTAGGGAATAGCTTGTGGATTTGAACTGCAGGCCTTTGATTTGCCAAAACAATTCCTTACCACTAAGCTAGCAGAGCTTCCTGAATATCCTACGTTGTTTGTTGTTGTTGGTGATTGCCTTTGAGTCAAGCATGACTCATAGCGAACCAATGAAAAAGCCTGAAGCCCCTCTACAACAATCGACATTTATCAAAGTTCACAGAGTTTCAGGAGGCATGTTATTTAGGAAGTGGATGCCACTCCTGCTTCCAAAGCTGTCATAGTATGTCATTATTTTTATGTGCCACTGAGTCTTCTGTGATGTATAGCGACACTATGTACAGCAGTTCTGAACCCTGCCCTGTCCTGAGCCAGTCTCACTAACTCCTACACACCAACCCCCATTGCCCCAGTTACTATATCAATACATCTCATCCAGGGTATCCCTCTACTGTGCTGTCCATCCACCCTTCCAAGCATGATGTCCTTCTCCAAAGACTGATCTCCTGGCCACGTGACCAAAGTAAATGAAGCAGTACTTCAAAATCCTAGCCTCCAAAAAGAGACTGGTTGTTTTACCCTCTCCAAGACACACTTATTTGTTTTCTTGGCAGTCCATGGTATGTTCAAGACTCTTCTCAAGCACCACAACTCGAAGGCATCTATTCTTTTGTCATCCTTAGTCATTGTCCAACTCTATGAAGCATAGTAAGTAATTGAGAAGACCATAGCCTGGATTAGACACACCTTTGTATTTAAACTGACATTGTTGCTCTTAGCACTCTGGAGAGGTCCAAGACAGCAGATTATCCCAATGCAATTCATCTTTTGATTTCCTGACTGTGTGGTTCCAAGCAAGCTGTAACTGTTAACAACCTCAATCTCTTCTCCATCGAATATGGTGCTGCCAATTGGCCCAGAAGTGAGAATCTTTGCCTTCTTGATGTTGTGCTTCTATCTATATTGCAGACCTTTTGCAGCAAGTGCTTCAGGTCCTCCTCAGTTTTAGCAAGCAAGGTTGTGTCATCTGCATATCGCAGGTTGTTGATGAGTCTTCCTACAATCCTGATGCCACATTCCTCCTCATAAAGCTCTGCTTCCTGAATGATCTGTTCTGCATACAGATTGAAAAGGTATGGGGACAAGGTGCCTCCCTGATGCACTCCTTTCTTGATTTTGAACCATGCAGTGTTTCTTTGCTCTCTTCTGAAGACTGCTTCCTGGTCCAAGTATAGGTTTCGTATAAGCACGATCAAGGGTTCTGAGATTCCCATTTTCCTCAAGGTTAGCCACGATTTATTGTGACCCACACAAATGCCTTTGCATAGTCAAGAAACATAGACATTCTTCTGGTACTCCCTGCTTTCTGCCAAGATCCATTTGACAGAGGCAATAATGTCCCTCGTTCCACGATCTCTTTAAACCCAGCTTATATTTCTGGTAGTTCTCTGTCAATGTACTGTTCAAGTCTTTTCTGGATAATTTTCAGCAGGATTTTGCTAGTGTGTGATATTAATGATATTATTCAATAATTTCTACCCTCTGAATACACTATAGTATAGTGTAAACTATACGCACAAAGAACCCCAAAAATTATTGTCAGAAGAGGTGGGATTTATTGCTCTAGACTTACAGAAATAAGGTTTGGTTTTGTAAATGTGGGGAGATGTACAGTTAAAATGTTTATTGTTTGTTTCTACAAAATGGTGGGGAAAACCCAAAAGGTTACTTGTGCTGCTACGAAGATGAACAGAAAAAGTCAAGAAGCTACGTTATGGCCTCAACAAAAGGGTATGAAGAAGACAACTGAAAATTTCTTTAAAAGTCTATGTATGGTGCCTTTTTCCCCCCTTTATATGTTAATGTTGAGATAGTTTGTAAAAATAATTTAAAGGTTTTTTTTGTTGATTTAAACTATACTGGATTTTGTTATATTAAGATATTTATTGTATATTGTGGAAGTCAGCTGGCTGACTGGCAGGATGGCTGTCATCTCTATGGTGGCTCAATTTTGGTAGCAGTCAAGACAAGGGACGTTTCTGGGGTCCTTTTTGCTGTGTGTTACTGCTCTTTCTTGTTCTTCAAAAGTAGGTGGGCATTTGACACGTCAGTTGGCCTATTAGACTAAAAGCAGTGCTACCAAGCCACAGGTGGGTGACTCTAATCCGCGGCCCTAACCCCTGTCTTTAATTGTTTTGGTGAAACATTCTTCTAGGTCGTATAGCCCTGGTGTGTCCACTTGTCGTACAGAGGTAACTCGTGATTGCTGTGAAGCTGAACACTGTGACACTGATGTGTCAAATGTGATAATGGTCACCCATGGTGGACAGTGTTTGGTGGCACTCCCTGGCTAAAACAAACTTGGAAGCAGGAGCGGCATCCACTTCCATAAAAAGCTTGCCTCGGGAAACCCTACGAACATGGAGAAAGGATGAAAGTCACACAACTGTCAAGGACTTTCGTTCATAGGGTCACTATGAGTCACCTACGACTTGACGGCACTTAACAACAACATTGTATATTGTGGAAACGATGATTTCTTGATGGATACTAGTGAGCATTGTTTACTAATCCTGGATGTTATAATGATATGACATAATAATTATTAATTATTAAAGAAAAAAATGTAAGCCAGTTGAATATTAATTAGGCTTTAAAAAAGGGAAAATCTGCCCTAAAAGAAAGTTTATAGTAGTAAGTAGAATTTGGTACAGAGTGTGGAGCTTACCTTAAGGGAGATTAAGCCTCACCTAGTACTTTGAACAGAATTACATTTAAAAGAAGACAAGTAGAAAAAGAGAGACTTTGTCAATGAAACTGAGGCAAGAGAAAGCTGATGCTTAACTTGTGGTAACCACCTGGGTCTAGCTGTTGAGTGGAAGAGGAAAGTATCAAAACTCCCTTTTCAGGACTTTACATTAAAGTAAGCGGTTGAGTATGCTCAACCAGCTGAGTCCACTTGATGAGTGGGAGATACACAGTAATGAAGAAACAGGCTGAATTTGGACTTGTTCCTTCTGCACTGTCCACATTGCATGATGAATGGATATATGAAGAAGGGTTACTATTTTGTGGAGCAGGGAGTGGCTAAGGTTAAGTGAAGGGACCAGCTGGTCTGAAACTCAGAAAGAAGTGAGGACTCCTGAGTTTGTGGCTGATGCCCACTAGGACCTAGCCACAGATGGCTTAGGGTGTGTTGACCAGAACCCAGCCAGAAAAAGAGAAGATGTTTCATTCTGTGAGCTAGTGTTGCTTAAAGTTACCTGATGATTTGCTCTGGATAGGACCTTTGTTTACAGATGCAGATGCTCAAAGTTTCAACTATAACAGAAGATTCTAGAGAAAAAGACATGCTTATTTCCTCAGAGCACTGGTTTGATAAGACTGGGCAAATCAGAAATTGACTATCTAAAATGGGGGGATTACAATTTATGGAGTAAAACAATTGACTTACATATTTCCATTAATATAGATGATGATAAAGGGAAGGCTGATCCTTCAGATAATGAGAGAAAAGTCAGGGAGTGGTTTGGAGTATCAGAATCTTTGCAAATTGGCTTTTCTATGCATAGAGTTAGACCCCATTTGGAGGCCATGGTCTCCAGCTACCTTACCTACAGACACATGGTCTTGTAAACCATCAACAGCTGTGGGACTAATATAGGAGAGAGAGCAAGCTTTTCACACTGAGTTATCTACAACACTAGCCCCTTACCCGCTATACCCCCGCAATGACTGTGGTGGACAGGTTGTGAAGAGACTGTGGCATCACTATGAAGAGATTGTAATAAGGTGTAAGCAGAAGAAAAGCTGATTTGTAACTGCTCTGAGATAAGGGCCACATTTAAAGGTTTTGCTTGCTATACAATTAGAGGAAAAGCTGAACTTAAAATTGCTCTGAAATAAAGTTTGGTGGATAACTAAGGAAACCAGAAGCTTCTTGTATTTGCACTGCTCACTTGAACCTGGACTTTCACTAATTTAGGAACTGTGCCTTGTTAATTTGGCTTAGGACTGATGAACTAAACCCGGACTTTCATTTTGTGATATTCTTTGCCTACCCTATTCTCCAACCCATTTCCCTAATAAATTCCACAACTGTGAGTAAAGTCTGTGAATCAACAATGAATATCGGACTTTTATTCAAAATGGTTGACTCTGGAGAACATTATGCTGAGTGAAATATCCCAGTCACAAAAGGACAAATATTACATGATGCCACTGTTGTAGAATGGGACTGTCCTTGGGGTTGGGGAGAGACTGAGTAAGATGGGTTCAATAATGTATACTGCACTGAAGCAGAGGAGGGAGAGAACCGTCTAAAAGAGAGATGTAACTGGGTATTTCTGTCATCACAGGAGACTAGAGCGAGGGCTGCATGGTGGAGGGGACCTGGGGGAGGGTTTGTAAAACAATGAAAGAATCTTTTCTTTTACTTTTCCATAATTTTTGGACTCATGTACTTATAACTTGTTAGTCAAATTTGTGTCTTCTAGGTTGCAACACCCCCATGATACATCTTGAAGGATATGTACATGTACAGCCAAGCACAATCAATAAGAGTGCATCTGAATTCCAAAATCAATCTCCATAATAGTCTATGTGTTTCCTACTGCCAAAGGGGCCCTTTAGAGTAGTGAGAGAAGATCTTCACCCTGAAACCCACAGCGTCCCTTTTCAGCAGGAAGTAGCTAAGAGAATACGCCGTCCCCTTTTCCTTATGACTCAGGGTGAAGTCTCTCTCAGGGAGGAGTGATAGGGAATGGCAAAGGATACACTGACAAAGAAGATTAATCAGAACTGGCTTTGACAAGCACTGTGGCATTTGGACAAGAACAAACTGGGAGGAGGGTAGAGAGAATAGTGCAACAATGAATGAGTGGAAGCCCAAAATCTCTGTAAATGTTTATGAAAATTAATAAAATATAATTATAGAAAAAAAAAAGAAAGAGGTGGGGGGAGCATTTTGGGGAGAGTGGCGGTGGCATGTCTGACTGTGTAGCTGTTTGCTGCTACGGATATTACTGATGGGGACAGTTCCCCTTATGAAGTAGTCAGAAGTCAGACTCAACATCCCTACATTGTGTCTGCTCCTTTGACAGTTTAACTCACTTTATTGCAGTATTTGCTTTATTACATTGGTCTGGAATGGAATTTGTATTATCTCTGAGGTATGCCACTACCATACTAAACTTACAGAACCATTGCTCCTCCTACCCTTAAAGAAATATTTTCCAGTAGGAAGTCCTGTGACTAAGGAACAGTGGAGTAGACTGTCCACCAAGGAGGGAATGGCAATTCCCTGTAAGTATTATTTTGTGTAAGCCCAACAAAGGGTAGGGTAGGACAACACTGCCTGCACCAGGAAAAATGTATTCAGGCTCAAATCTATTACCATAGTAAGGAATTGAAGTCCTCTTAAAAAGAAGAAAAGCACTCTTGTGGCACAGTACACTAAGGTTGTACTACTAACTAAAAGGTCTGGTGGCTCAAGGTCACCAGTCATTCTGTGGGAGAGAGAGAAAGCAATCTGCTCCCATAAAGACTTACAGTCTCAGAAATTCTACTGGGCAGTTCCACTCTGTCCTACAGTGTCACTATGAGTCAGAACTGACTTCACAGCTGTGGATCTGGTTTGGTGTGGTTTCAAAAAATGAAATAAAGGAAATAATCAGCTTGTCAGCTCACCTAAGCCATTGGTTACTCCACCAGCCAGAGTCTGAGAAACTTCATCCTGGGTATCACATAGCTAGAAGAGAAAAGAACAAGGCCTGAACTGTGAATGGTGTCCTTCAGCACCTCCAAGTCCTTACAGGAAAATGCCCAGGCATATAAAACAATACTGACATAAGAACCAAGGAAAGCTTCTTCAAATCGACAAGATAAAAAGTACAGCAAAGTCAAATCTACCCCCACCAGCTCTTCTTTGTCTGCACCCTACTTTAGCCCCTTTCTATACCTCTTGGATCTGATCCACCAGGCTTTCTGCCTTCTCCACTGTGACATCCTTCATAGAGAGTTTGAGTGCTCCTACTCCAGCCTGGTAAGCATTAAAAACCTAAAGGGAAAGAGTTGTCAATACGAGTATGGAGGATATGGCAAAATACAAACAATGCTTCATCTCTAAAAGTCAGCTATTTTTTTTTATATTACTTTGCTTTATTTATAAAGTTTGAAGACATTTGTTTTTCATAAAAGATCCTTCCCATTTCTTTCACCCCACCCACCCATCGAATTGTATTTTTTGCAACTCATACAAGATTACCCACTAGGGCCAAAATTTTCCAATAGGAAAGGCAGAGGCAACTTTAGCTGTATCTTCAAGAGCAAAGGGCTGCTCCAAGCAGCACTTAGCCAACAGTGAAGACATAGTGGAGGGATGAGTAGTGTGTACTGGGGAAAGCAGCCAAGGAATGGAGAAAAGGGAGAGAGGTTACCATCTGGTCTGTCTGGGAGGCATAGATCCGGTCCAGGATGCCTTGAACAGTGTCCAGCTTGGCATGGAGGGCCTCGATGCGCTTCTCTGTCCGTTGCTTGGTTTTGAGAGACCTCAGTGCCTAAGGAATATGGAAATTCAGGTCAGGGTCAGGCTAAGCGTCCAAAATGCCGAACTAAAACTGCCTTTCTCAGAGAATAAGACTATTCTAGGTCATCTACCCATCTATTTGAAAATATGGTATGAGACCTACACATTCTATTCCATTTGGAGTCCCAACCAGGTTACTCTATGAGCTCTTGACATCTCCTATTGCTAGCACAGGACAGAACTAGGCAGCTGGAATGGAAAAGAGAAAACTTACTAGTTGTTTCTTTCCTGCTCGGCATGCCCGGCGGGCTTCTTCTTTACACCTATAAAACAAAGGAACCAATCAAAACAGAACAGGGATGGCAAGATCCTGAAGAATCCTCAAGAGCAGACTTAATTGTAACAGCTTAACCTGAACATCAAATACATTCGAAGAGAGAAAAAAATGATGGCCAGTGACCCACAGTCAAACTCCTGCAGCAAGTCAAGATCCAAGCAAACTGCCTATGGATAAATTATTTTCAAGTCCCAAGGAGAACATGAAAACCAGGCACCTTAAAAACATATTCCCATTGAGGGAGCTAGGAATTAATTTCTAGTATGACCAATAAAAACCCCTTTGCGTTCCCAAAGTGTTAGGTTCTCACAGATAAGACAAAATGAAGAAGTAAATTTTAACTCAGTGTCAATAACCAAAACCAAACTCTCTGCCATTGAGTCAGTTCTGACTCATGGCGATTCTCCATTGAGTCTGCAAATCTATAAATCTCAATGGGGACAGAGACTGCCTATCTTTCTCCCGTGGAGCGACTGGCAGATTCAAACTGCAAATCTTTCAGTTAGCTGACCAAAATGTTATGCACTACGCCATCAGGGTTCCTTTAATTTAGCACTTCTCTCTCTGTGTGTCTCCTTCTCTCTCTCCTCTCTCTCTATATATACATACACACATACATATCACCTACTCTTCAGAGAAGCATTCATGTGACTTTGCCAGGAATATCTTGTACAGTCATCGCAGGGGAACAGGAGGATTTTCTCAAAAAGAGTTCTGCAAAGGCAGGGTTTTGTCTTGCTCATTTCTGTATCTCTAGTGCCGAGATAATACCTGGCTCAATAACAACTTATCAATTGATACAGCATAGAAAATCATAAAATGTCATTTAATCTTTAGTATTTAAAAAAAAATACCAAGGATCATTTTTTTTTTTCTTTTGTGATCCTGTGTAGTTTCTACAATTCTCCTCTGGACAGTTAGTTAGTACATCTGTAGTTAGTATGGTAGTGTGGTCTGTAGTATGTTGCACTGACAACCAAAAGAAGTATGCATCTCCAGTGGTTCAAATCCAGAGGCTCTGCAAAAGAAAGGTGGGCAGTCTCTTCCCATTAACATTTACAGCCTTGGAAACCTGATGGAGGGTCATTATGAGTCAGAATTGACAAAAGCACGTTTGGGGTTTTCTATAATCAGTAAAACAAAGCAAAACACCTATTTCCTGCCCCTGCCCCGATCCCATCACAGAGCCCATAGTTCCAAGTGCCTGCTGGACAGAGGGGGCTTAGTTAGTGCAGGGATAGAAGTTACCTCTCTGCTTCTTGGGACAAGGACTCCACCTTGCGTGAGAGGAGCTGCTCACTCTGCATCAGCTGGTAAACCCCAACGTCGACATCGTTGACAGGAGAGACCTTGGCATGTGGCCCTCTGGCAAACTTCACAATCTGAGGGATATGGACAAATTACTGCTGTCCCTCCCACAAATTCTAGGAAAATTGCAAGCAGAAATGCTAATGGATGTATTACATATGTAGTAAAACATTGGCGAGGCAATGAATGAACAAATGAACTTCCATACCTTTTCTCCATTCTGCTCGAGGACTGTGACTCTCTTTTCTTTCTGAAGCTGTAGCAAGACCAAGTAAAAGGTTCTCTCATCTGGGCAAGAGCTAGCACAGATGGTGCTCAGCTCTGACAGGGCCACCACTGGGTGTGAGGAGAGAGGGGAGTTCTGATACAGACGATACACCTCCTCAGCCTTTTCCTGAAGGGAAAGGCAAAATACACTTATATATCCTGGTTGTAGCCCACAAGACCCAAGGATCTAGACCTCCATGCTTATAAAAAAACACCATCAAGTAAGGCAGCAACTCAATCTTCCTTTGAAGCAATTAGGATTTTTTGGTTGTTGTTGCTATTTTGAGGGTTTTTTTTTGTTTACTCCTCCCCTCCTTAAAATGACAAAGGATTTATGATTTTAAAAGTTTGATGAGCAAGGGGTATGTAATCATAGGGTTGTATAATTTGATGAGTGAAGGGAGGGGTGGGTAAAGGAAAAGGGAAAGATCTGGTATAAAAAACAATGTATATGAACTTGGTGAGTAAACCAGTATAAAATAAAAAATATTTCAAAAGGATTAAAAATAAAAATTGTTTAAAAAAGATAAAAAAAATAGTTTGATGAGCATGTTTGAAATGTTGTTGTTAAGTATTATCAAGTCATAACAGATTCATGGCTAAGCCTCCAGCAGGTTTTCAGAGGCAGTAAATTGCGTGGGAGGAAACTATCCATCTTTCTTCTGTGAAGCAGTTGATGGATTTGAACTGCATGTCACTGGGTTGGCAATGCAACTCTTTACCACTAAGCCACCAGAGCTCCCTGTCTGAAACAAGGTACATGAAATCATGGGAACCAACTCTGGCTTGTAATTCTTTTTGGGGCTTAACTTTGCACGCTTGCTGGCCCTCTGTATCTATTTCACAAATTGGAGATGTTGGACAAGATGGCATTGAAATTTTCTTCCAATTCTAGTATCTATATTTTTAAGCCTTTTGGCAATACTACAAACAAGAACACTACTGAGTTCACAGTCTCAAAAGTTTGAACAGGGTTATGGTAAGTTCAAGCATGAGCTACTGAGCTAACTATATAATATGTTATGAAAATATAAAGAAGGAGTGGCTTATCAGAAGTTTTTTTAGGGAGACGGGCAGGAAGTGGATGCTGAACAGAGGTCTGAAAGGTGAGTAAATCACTAATTAAGAGTGGTGGGAAGGATTTCTTAGGAAGAGCAACAAGCAAAAACAATGGCAAAGTAACATTAGCTGGAATGGTGTGTGTTTATATGTAGAAGTGCAGCAAGAGATAGGAAAAGTACTAGTGTATTATATTAAAGTGTAGTAACTTACACATCACTCTTTACTCTTCAGATGATGGTTATTCAGTGCAGTGAACTACTTAATATGGCCATTCTAGAAACAATTGGTTGGTGACTCCTGTAAAATGACTGGGTGTTGGCAGTCCACCAAGGAGTTAAATAATTCATTAATAAGAAATAAGGTGCATGGAAACTTTGCAGGTGTGAAATATGAAACCTTAATCAGGGTAAGGTCACTCCTGTTATCCTACTTGCTGTTGTTATTAGGTATTATCAAGTTAAGTACAATGCATAGAGACCCTATGAACAACAGATCTCAACGACAGATTCTATCCGGCACCACCCTCATAATTTTTTACATACTTGAGCCCATTGTTGCTGACACTGTAACAATCCATCTGGTTGAGGGTTTTCCTCTCTTTTACCAATCCACTACCTTTCCAAGCATGATATGCCTCTCCAAGGGACATTCTCTCCTAAAACATGCCTATAGTATGTGAGATGAAGCTTTGTCTTTGTCTCCAAGAAACACTCTGGCTGTTCTTACTCCAAGACATGGCTGTTTGTTGTTTTGGCAGTCCTCAGGATGTTTAGTAGTAGTACTCTTTTCCAACACAATTCAAAGACAGTAATTCTTCTTCTGTCATCTTTATTCCTTGTCCAGCTCTCAGATGCATAGCAAGTGACTGAAAAGACCATCACTTGAATCAGACACATCTTAGTCTTCAAACTGACATCATTACCTCTTAGTAATTTGGAGAGGTTCTTCTAACTGCAAACTTTCCCAGTACATCTCCTCGTCTCCTGACTGCTAGTACTAAGGGTGTTGGACTATAGATTCAATATTAAGATGAAGTCACTGACATTTTCAATCCATGATGTTAGCCAAAAGTTGGCTTTTTAAAACCATTATAGTTAGCTACCTCTGGATCCAGCTACATTAACTGCAGACAGAGTCTTTCAAAGCAGCATGGTCTTGCAAAGCATCAACAGCTGTGGGACCAGGATAGAAAAAAACATTGCTTTCCACACTGGTCAGCAAGATTTGAAATATGCAAGCCTTGAGGCAAGAAGACTTGAGGGAGACTGGAGCATGACCCTGGTGAGAGTGAGACCCTGGTGGTGGATAGACTGTGGCATTGCTGTAGAGAAACTGTGGCAAGGTATGACCTGAGGCTTCTTGCATTCATCCTGGCAACAGTTAAAGGTTTTGCTGTTCTTCCTGGATGCTTGAAGTAGAAATTGACTTACAACTGCTTTGAGGCAAACCTTGCTGGATGATTTGGATTTGACAGATGAACTGAATCTGGAGCCTGAACTAATTGAGGAATAGGGCCTTAGAACTTAGGCTTGTTTTGGGTGATACTCTTTGCCTCCCCTATTCTCCAACTTACTTCTCTAATAAACCCATTCTCAGTACAACTGTGAGTCTGTGAATCAACAAGAAATAAACACACCTCTTGCTATTGGTGTGGTTCTAGAAGCACCATGGGACTGGGTTATAGGCTCTTTATCCGCTTTCTGCTCAGGGACAGTGAGGGGCTGTGCTAGTCTCCCTTTCTCTGGCCCTTTCAGAGAGATGCTCATGTCTCTGTGGCCCCATGTTCCCCCCCCCCTTTTTTTTCTCTTTAGACATAATCTTTTCTCAATCTATCATGACTTTTCCTGTTGGCCCAGTGGTGAGAATTTCTGTTTTCTTGATGTTGAGATGTAATCCATAGTGACGGCTATACTCACTGATTTCTGCAGCAAGTTCTTTAAGTCCTCCTCACTTTTAGCAAACAAGGTTGTGCCAACTGCAAAATGTAGGTTGTTCATGAGTCTTCCTCCAATAATAATGCCACATTCCTTTTCACAGATTCCAGCTTCTCTAATGATTTGCTCAGCATACTGACTGAATAGATACATAGAGAGGATACAACCTTGACTCACACTGTTTTTAATTTTAAATCACATAGTACTACCTTAGGGAGCTCTAGTGACCTAGTGCCAAGAAGCTGCATTGCAATCCAAAAGGCATGTGGTTCAAATCCACCAGCTGCTACATGGGAGAAGGTTGGGAAATTTCCTCCTGTGTGATTAACCGCCTCTGAAAACCCACCAGAGAGTCAGATATGGTTCAGTTCCAACTCAATGGTACACAACAACAACAACAGTATTACCTTGCTCTGTTCAGACAGCAGCCTCTCGGTCCATGTTATGAGCACAATTAAGTGTTCTGGGATCCGATTTTCAATGTTATACATAATTTGCTATGATCCACACAGTCAAATGCCTTTGCATAGTAACTAAAGCACAACAGACATTTTTTGGTATACTCTGCTTTCAGCTATGATCCACTTGACATCCCTAGTGTCATCCCTAGCAATGATATCCCTAGAGTCACAGCCTCTTTTAAATCCAGCTTGAACTTCTGGCAGTTCTCTGTCAATGTACTGTTCCAGGCATTTTTGGATGATTTTCAGTAGTATTTTGCTTGCATGTGATGCTAATGATGTTGTTGTTGTTAAGTGCCACAGAGTTGTAGACAACCCATGAACCCTATGAACGGAAGTCTTGAAAACAAAACTTTCATCTTTTCTCCAAGTTCATAGACTTTCCGGAGGGAAGCTTTTTTTGGAAGTAGATGCCACTCATGCTTCCTAGCCTGTTTTATTTGGGAGATTCACAAAAACCAGGCCCAAGGACCCCAAAGCCTTTTTATTTTTTTTTTTTAAATTTTTATTGTATTATTTTTAAGTGTGCTGTCAAATCAGATCTGACTGGTACAGGAGGAGATTGCCTCCTCCTTCTCCAGCAGAGCATCTGGTGGATTTGAACCACGTTGACTCTGAGAAGAATGGGAATCCCAGAACACTTGATCGTTCTAATGCGAAATTTATACTTGGACCAGGAGGCAGTCGTCAGAACAGAGCAAGGGAACACTGCATGGTTCAAAATTGGGAAGGGCGTACGCCAGGGATGCATCCTATCTCCATACCTTTTCAACCTATATGCAGAACAGATTATCCGGGAGGCTGGGCTCTATGAGGAGAAATGTGGGGTCAAGATTGGTGGACAATTTATCAACAATCTGCGTTATGCGGATGACACAACCCTGCTTGCTGAAAGTGAAGAGGAGCTGAAGCACCTGCTGCAGAGGGTCAAGGACTGCAGCCTACAATATGGATTGAGGCTCAATGTCAAGAAGACAAAGATTCTCACCACTGACCAATTGGCAGCATCAGGATGAATGGTGAAGAGATTGAAATTGTACACAGCTTTAGCTTGCTTGGCTCCACAGTCAACAGTCTTGGCACCAGCATCCAGGAAATTAAAAGGCACATTGCCATGGGAAAGTCTGCTGTTAGGGACCTCTCCAAAGACCTGAAGAGCAATGGTGTCTCTCTGGAGACTAAGGTGCGTCTGATACAGACCATGGTCTTCGCAATCACCTGTTATGCATCAGAGAGTTGGACAATGACCAAGGAGGATAGAAGGAGAATTGACGCCTTTGAGCTGTGGTGCTGGAGAAGAGTACTGAGAATACCATGGACTGCTAGGCAAACAAACTGATTTGTCCTGGAAAGGGTTAAACCGGGTGGCTCCTTGGAGGCAAGGATTCTGAGGCTCCGTCTAACATACTTTGGACATGTTGTGAGGGACATCATGCTTGGGAGGGTGGAGAGACAGCGCAGGAGAGGAAGGCCCTCTATGAGGTGGATTGATTCAGTGACTGGGGTAATTGGGATGGTAGTGTCGGAGACAGTGCGACTGGCACAGGACAGAGCGGAGTTTAGGGCTGTTGTACATAGGGTCGCTATGAGTTGCAGGCGACTCGACGGCACATAACAACAACAACAACAACAACCACCTGTGGGATTGCAGTGCAGCATCTTGCCACTAG